TACTCTTCTACACACACACACACACACACACACTCTCTCTCTCTCTCTCTCTCTCCGCGCCATGGACGCACACATAGCATTCTCCTCCTGCACACCTGTCAGCGCAACGAGGAGAGAGAGAGATCGTCTCTCAAACAATGCAGCATTTTCAGAGATTAGACATGAGAAGTTCGACTAATTATTTGGGTGTTCTTTTTCTTGTTGCATGCGACAGGGAGGGTTAAGAATCAAGTGTATTGAGCAGCAAGTGCGACCATATACATCCACTGTTGTCAGATATAGTGAGTGCTATGCAGGGTCGAGCTTCCGCGTAGAGGAATCACCCAACATCTCAAATGGTAATGGAATCGACGGGAGCTGTAAAGCAAAGAACATGCTTTCGAATCTTCCTCTCTGCTGCTTTTTGAAGATTGCTCGAGGAAGGCGTAGAGGCGATGCCAACCGATCTCGACTTTGTGACAGGCAACGTAGCAGATCGATGGCCACCAATTCCTTATCAGTGTCACACGTAAGGAAATGGGTGATCACCGGCCATCCATCAGCTGGTAGCTGTTGCACTTACCATCAATGGGAACAGTAATTTTTCCCTTCCATCATACACACAGTGCAGCAAATATTTCGACTCTGGCAAGCCATCTTTCTTATTATTTTTCCCTTTAACCATTCAATAGATCCAAAGGACAAAATAAATGAAAAGAAGATGCATTCTGTATTATTTCTTTGTATAGAATCAGTATGGTAAATATGATACATGTTGGAGAATGTGATGCCACTCATCTGCTTGTGGTCTTGAAAGATATGTTGTCCACCAGGTGAAGGATTTATATATTCGAAGGACAAGTGAGAGAAATGATCGATTTGAAGGGCTCTTAACACATACATGATTGTACATTGCAGAAGGAACTACATGTTCTCTCTTCAGGATTCCTTGCTAGAAATTGTCTCTGGAAGTTTGTACGTCGGAGGTCGATCGGCTCCCCTTCTCGAATATTCTCTCCACCTTCTGGCTGCCGCTGCGGCTCTCTTGGCTCTCTCCTTCACTGCTGCTTCCTCTGTAGGGAAGTGCATGATTGATAAGTCCACCATAGAGTGCAAGCAGTTTTATGAATGACAATTAACATGAATATTAAACCAACACCGACAAAAGAGAACAAATTTAGAAGAAAAGAAGATTTATTTGTGATTAACAAGTTTGCATGAGCAGACAAACATTGTGATTGTCGAATTGCGATGGCAGCACAGCTAAGTTATTGATTATTTTATTTTATCAGCAGACATTACCATGGCAGAAGTTTACCAAGATTATGAACTGCAAGGATATATACTCTTAAAAATAAAGAACTAACTACACTCTAGAAGCAAAGAGCATCAAACCATATATGGATTGGAACCTCGATGTGTTTTGACGTACTTGGTTTCTACTCAGTGAAACCTGTCAACTATAGTTATGATACAGAGAGTTTGAGATGGTATTGGATCGTAGAATGCTAGTCGCCTTAACAAGCAAGAATCGGTAGCCCAGCTGATGGAGTTGCTTATGTTGAAAGATTAAAAAACAAGTGGAAATGAAGTTTAGGACTACATAAACATGTGGATTGACAAGCAACAAAAGAACAGGCAAGCAAAGCAAGATAAATTTGACTATATTAGTTTTGAACAATACCTGTACTTGGGTAATTCTTTGGCACCCCCCAAATATTACTCCAAGACCCACTCTTATCGTTCTCTCTCTGTTTCGTTACCCGTATCTTAGCCTTTTCCTGAGAGTCAGAAGAGAGAATTGATGCAATGCAAGTAGTATGGGAAAGTTATTATGCAGACTTTCATTACAAACTATAAGATTGGAAGCAAAAAGACAAAAGGTGTGTGGCATAGATGCAATGGTTAATGCTTAATTTTCAGCTATATAGAGTAACAATTCACATGAAAAGAGAAATGTGCATCAGTCACGGACACAACCGACCCAAGTGATTCTAGGTCATGTTGAATTCAAACTTTCTGAATACATCTCTTTATAAAGGAAGGCATTCATAGGAAACATCTACTGACACCTCATTTGTTGAAGGGGTGCAAAGAAAAGCAGCAGATATGGACTTTCCGAAAAGAAGTAAAACCATAGAAAACAATCAAAGATGACAAAAGGACTTGGCTCTTTCTTGAGGATCGACAAGCCTAAATTAAAAATAAACCCAGGAAGCCACACCCTAGACACAATTTTATAAGAGCATACCATCCAAGGGAATTACATCTATGAGATAATCCAAATTCTACTCCCTCCAGATTCACAAAGTATCCAAGAAGGAATTCAATTAACAAGAATGAACTCTGAGAATGTCAAAAGACAAAGGAATAGGTATACAAGTCATGGAATTTGAAATTCCATGGGCTACAAAGACTATTTAAAGAGCTGATGAACCTTACCAACACTTTTGCTTGGCGCTTATCCCATCGTGTACTTGCCTGCAACATACAAAACGAATACATGTCAGAATATATGAGAACAAGAGACATATGGTAACAATTAACAATTTCCAATATAGACTTTGTTTTTAGTTGATGCTATTGTAGTATTTCTTAAAAAAAAAAAAACTTTGTTAGGAAAGGCAAGTCAATTTAGACTAATGGTGTCAGGAGAGAGAAAAAGACCTAAGAAGACTTATTAGAAACAATAAGGAATTTAAAGACACCAAGTTTGACTAGTGATTACCCTCATTATTAAATTTAACGGTGGAAGCGACCTGTGCCTGAAATTATCCACACAGCTAACACAAGATGGATGGGGTCTACAACTTGTTGCTATTGTTCTAAGGATTGTCATTACAGGAAAAGAGAGACAGTACTTTTTGTGTTGTCAATAGTAACACACTACATATTAGAAACACAGAACAACTGACATAAGTAATCATATGGTAAAAAGTTGCAGTACAAATTAGCACAATTCTTTATTACCATTCTGAACACATCAGTGGATGAGCTCCCCATTCCAGCAAGCATAAGCCCCACCTGCTCAAATCGAAACCAGTTTGTCACCAATAAAGTCAAACCTCTGAGTTTGGATCATAGCATTTTGATACAATCAACTAAGTTAGTAAATGGATATGGTTTATTAGTTCCTATATGTATATGATAGCATTTTGACATCATATATTTATAAGTTCATTTTCATCCGCCAAGTCTTATTTATAATAGAACTGTGTGAATAAGACTCAATCCAGTATGTTCAATACAAAGTAAATATTCTGAAAATACATAGTGAGAACTCAAGGCCGACAATGGAGTAGAAAGATAAATGCCACAGGCTATGAGAAAAATAAGATATATTTCTATCATTTGATCATTTATCTGAGATAGAAGAAATTTAAAAGTTTCATCTTACATTCACTCTCTCCACTCTGCGCATTTCATCTTCAAGGAGGGAAAGCTGTGCAGCAGAAGTCCAGTGAATGCAATCAACTGGACTGAAATAAATATTGATAGTCGAAGTCAATAATATGGCAAAAATCAAAAAGCAAAGTTCAGTTGTAAAATGGACATGTCATACAATAGAAACAGAGTAACAAATCCATAGCATCTCAGTTTATCATGAAGCATGAACTCACAGAAGATGGGAGTTATCAAAAAATGAATTAGATAACCTGAAACACGACAGGAGCAACTTGAAGTTGTCGATGCGAGAATTGTGATATAGCACAGAGTTATAAAAAGTGCTTAAGGTAAAGGAGAAAACAGAAAAAAAACTTATATATTGAATGCTTTTCTACTACTTGTGGATAAAATAGTCCTAGTAGATAAACACACTGTAACAAACTTTGACAACATCATTAGTTGCCAAATGCAGCAAGATTTGTGAAGTATTCTCAAATAAGAATGTGTAATTGCAGAAAGCCAGAAACTTCAATTACTAAAAACATGCCTAATCTATTCAGTGGAAAATAGCATTTCCTGGTAAATCACATGCATTGACAAATTATTCAAAATTTCAAATGAAGGTGATGCTAAATGCCTAAGCTTGGTTTGCCTTCTATAATAGTTTAAGAGCAATTATTCGTGTTTCATCATCATCTCAGACCCTTCTTGGATGAATCATCTCATAACTCCAATGACATGAATGCGCCAATCATCATTCCCATAGATGACAAAAGAACATTTATTCGCACAGTAAAAATAATACATGTGAATCTGAAAACTTAAATGACCGTGGCCTTAAATTGCTAAAATATAAACTTGCAGTCTTTTGATGGCCTCTTCAGTAACCTCGCAAACTGCATTCATTGAATCAAGGCTAGATAATTATATAAAGCATAAGATATTAGAAAAAAAAAATAAACAATACAAATTCATGCTTCAGACTTGCATTGACAATAGAGCCCAAATCAGTAACAGTCAAATAAATAACATATTCCCATATGTTCCCAATATCTATCTCACCAAGTATCAATTGCTTCCTGAACTAAGTCAGGATTCCCTGATTGGCAGCAAACTCTTGCTCGCCCATACTCTTCCTCAATCTGAAACACATCTGGGGCCACATTAGCACAGTTTTTGCACCCTGTTTGTGCAAGAGAAAGAAAAAGAAGTCATAGATGAGTGTGCCATTCAAGAACACTTTATCTATTAGGAGTGACAAAACTAGTCTATATGATCAGAAGCACAAGAAACAAGCACAGAATTATGAGAAAAAGTCATTCCGACGATAACACATACTATAAAGAACAAACTCTACTTGTAAACCAAACCAGGGAAGGAATATGGCATACCTATGCAACTAAACTCATCAACAAATGCATGATCCTTTGGAGCGCTATCATCCAAGAAAGGATTGACGGCAGTTGTCGTGTATCCATGAATTTCATCATACACCATTCGCTGCACAGGATCACCGAGCACCTGTTCTTCCATCCTTGTTAGTTTACCGAATGATAGCTATAGAGAAGTGAGTATTTGAAGCATCCATTACTTCAGTTTCCAGTTGAAGAACCCACCGCATAGACCTCATTGACGAACATGCAGAAGTTATTAACATCCGGAGCATTCCCACTCAAGTCTGGATGGCATGATTTCATGCAATTGTAATAAGCTTTCTTTATCTGCCGAGGAGTGGCATCTGGCAACTGGTATTCACATAATAATATCAGCACCAAGATGTAACACATAGAGGAATGAGTTCACATATTATTCTAGTTATAACTTATCCAGTAAAACAATCTACCATCAAAGTTGTACACATTTCAGATATATATAAACCTCATTCTTCCCAATCAGAAAATATGAGTTCTACTTGTAAGATTAGCCCATGTTTCTTGTGGATGATGAAGGATCGATATGGATGCTACATCAGCCCTTATAGTTTCAAGGCGATGCACCCTCGGTTAGCATAGTAATGCATCATTTCAGCTGGCAAAACTGTTGAAGGATCACTAGCACGGTTTGGTTAGTACATCTTTCTTACCATCTTCATATTCATGAAGAAGAGAGACGATATAGAAGCATAACACTGCTGCAAGGAATCAAGAAATCATATTCCACCCACTCGAATCCATCTCAACGAACGGATCAAAAACCTGAAAGAAAAGTATTGGAATAGAAGGAAAGGATTGGTTACCAGCCCAAGAACCGCGTAGTAATCATCGGCGACATCATCCCGCGAGGAGAAACCCTCGGCAGCCGCCGTCGCTGCGGCGGCGATCCTGAAGTCCCTGTTCTGCCACCGCCGGCTGCACCGACGGTGGTGGCGGTGGGTTCTCGAACGGTCGGCGGCCGCTAGGCTCCGCGTCGGGGACGGCATATTGGGGAAGTCGAGGAGCAAGCCAGCGCGCACCGGCGTGAGCAACTGGGCCATTCTACCGACGAATGGACCCGGTTGTCGAGCCCTTCGCCGGCACGAGTTCTCATTCACTTCATGTTCTCCTTAATTTCCTCCACCTCTCAAAAAAACGTCCGATTTTTCGGTTCTACGGCTTCCCCCCTTTTGATCTTTAAGATATCCTGAGGCCCAGAAGCGTCGCTCGTCGGTGGCTTGGGTTGAGTCAGCCGCCGAGTCAAGAACCGACCCGGTCCCGACCACCCGATCTAATGTAATTGACTCGGGCCACCTTCCTCCCTTCGGAACGCCGCAACCCCCTCCATGCCATCTCAGAGGAAGCGAAGACGACGAGCTCAAGAGCGATCGTTGATGGATCGACCGCCCAGCACCCCGAAAGCAATCTTTGCTTCCATTCTTTCCTTCTACCTGCCGATGCCGACGCCGCAACCCGTGTGCCTCTCCACGCCGCTACAAATGGCCCCTCTCCCCAGGATTCACCCACCACTTGGGCGGCGTAGGAGGCGGTGGGAAGATGATGGAGTCCGGAGTCCCTCTCTGCAGCACCTGCGGCGAGCCCGTGGGGTTGTCATCTGCGGACAAGGAGGAGGTCTTTGTGGCTTGCCAGGGTTGCAACTACCCTCTTTGCTCCGCCTGCCTCGAGGATGAGGTCAGGGAGGGGCGCGAGAGCTGCCTTCGCTGTGGGGAGCCTTACGTTCGCAACGTGACGGGTTCGATCTTTCGCTCTTTCTCGGAGTTTGCTTTCAATTTCGTGCTGAACAAGTCGAATGTTGCTCCAGTTAGCTTGGTGAAGGGATGATCGGTTGCTCCTCTTTGTTTTAGTAGTTTAATTCTCCGTTTTCACGGTTAGGGTAGGAAAAGGAAAAGAGATGCCATTGTTTTTTTAGGAACTAGATCGACAGATTTGATCGTTAATAAGCGATTTATGGGGTTAAACTCTGCAGAAAAGGCGACTGAGGAGAGCAGCAATCACGAGGCTTCAGGTGTGAGATTGAGAACCGCAGGCCATGTCCATGATCACCAGGTATGTCTTTCTCCTATTGGTATTTTGTTTGATGATCTCTTTTGTTCCTTGTTATTTTATTTTGCTGAAGCTTAAGACTACTACGAGACTGCGACAATCAACTTCAATCCGGTAAATAGTTTACAAGAGGTTCCTGTTTCATCTAATTTTCACAGGAAAATGGAGGTCATGTTAGAAACTCGAGTAGTCTCTCCATGGTTGAAAGTGGTAGGTACCTATTTGATTGTTTCTTTTACGCTGTCATATTGGTTGGATACTTCATATATTGTTTTTTCAAAGTTTGTGCAATTGTCGATTAGATCAGCTTTGCGTATCGTATCGCGTCGGTTCTTCACGCTCACTCATTCTCACTGGTTCTTTGTTGGTTTTACTCTTTCTCCAGAGGTAAATGGTGAATCTGGGAACCCATTATGGAAAAACAGAGTGGACAGTTGGATGGAGAAAAAGAGTAAGAAAAAAACTTCAAAGAAGGCCGAGAAAGCTCAAATTCCAGTAGAACAGCAGATGGAAGACCAAGAGTAATGACATATTTCCATAAATAAAGTCAATATTATTTTCTGAACAAACTAGTATATTTCTTATCGGTACTGGGTGACTTGCTTTCTGTTTAGTAAAGTTCTTAGGGACGAGCAAAGACACATGAGGTTGCATGGTCATACTGCATCTTGTCATCTATGTAATAAATGTTTCGGGCAACTGGTTGGGGCTTGAAATTTTTTTCCATGTCATGATTTGATAAGGCTGTGTTCTTTGCTTCCTGTTTCAGGATAAGAATATTGCTCATTTGCTCCATCTGATTTGGCCATGTGCAGGTCTCCAGAAGCTGGACAGCCACTTTCAAGGATCATTCCACTATCACCTAATAAGTTGACTCCATATAGAGCTGTGATCATAATGAGATTGATAGTTCTTGGGCTTTTCTTCAATTACAGAGTAACCAATCCTGTTGATAGTGCTTATGGGCTATGGCTAACATCGGTCATATGCGAGATTTGGTTTGCAGTCTCTTGGGTATTGGATCAATTCCCCAAATGGTCACCTATCAATAGACAGACGTATATTGACAGGCTATCTGCAAGGTATACATCTATCTAATGGTTCAAACATGTTGAACTACTCTATGCAGAAGAGATTGTATGGAGCAGTCAAGAAAGAGGTTACTATAGTTATCTCATAAAACTTCAAAACATGTATTAGATTTTTTTTTAAGGTAGAATATCCTGTTAACTTAATTACGTCATTCAAAATGACATCCATTTAGACTTTGATGTTAAATTTTGGAAATAGTTTCGATGGTATAAAATGGTGTTTTGGGTGAGTGCGAGGTAATGAAAAAAAAAAATCTAAGATGAAGTGTAAATACTGCATTAAATGAGAAATCTATAGGAAAATATATTTGCATTTGCTTCCATGATTGTGTATGTTCATAGTCAATCTGCAGACTGCAGGTTGTATTGGCTATATAGCATTAAAGATATCAGTGTTCTATGAGTATTTGTTAATTCTTGTACTCTAAATACTGATGAAGTTACCACATTTCTAACTTAGGAATATAAACAAAGTCACCATTTACAATTAGCCTGACAGATTTTTTTTTTTTAATTGGTTATCCATCCCAATATGTTAATGATTATGCTCCTCATATCATTCCCTTTTTAGTTTTGGTTCAATATGAATGAAGCCTTCAGGATTTTGTATCCAGGAACAGATGCGTACATTTTAAATGAGGAGCTTAAGTGAAACATTTTGGTGAATAATGTTATGATGCTCTAGCTGGATAACCTTTCTAAGATCATGTGAGAAGTGAAACCTAGAATAGGAGCAACAATCGCCAAAAATCTTTAGTAAAAATATCGTGGCAACAAAAATGTGAGGATGATCTTTGACACAGACTTTCCAAGGATGATCTTCCATTGTCATTGTTGTGTGAATTTAGTAAGATATTATGTTTATGATGTTTGCAGAACTCTACCTTTATTTCTTTTTTATTTGATGGCATTTTCTCTGTATGTTTTAAAACTATCTATCCATGTAAACTTGTTAGTGAAATTTTAGATAGGTATGTTTCTTATATCGAATAGCAGATCTAAATAACAAAAGATGAGAACAGGCTTGTTATTATATAATCACTAGAAAAGTTGACTTTAATATCTAATTTCCAGATATGAAAAGGAAGGAGAAGAGTCACATCTGGCTCCTGTAGACTTTTTTGTCAGTACTGTTGATCCCCTAAAAGAACCACCATTGATTACTGGCAACACCGTGCTTTCAATTCTTTCTGTGGACTACCCTGTTGAGAAAGTTTCTTGCTATGTATCTGATGATGGATCCTCGATGCTTACTTTTGAATCTCTTGTTGAAACTGCGGAGTTTGCTAGAAAATGGGTTCCATTCTGTAAGAAATATTCAATCGAACCACGGACACCTGAGTTCTATTTTTCTCAGAAGATTGATTATTTGAAAGATAAAATACAGCCATCTTTTGTCAAGGAGCGGAGAGCAATGAAAGTAAGTATTCTTTGGAGAGCCAAGAGATTTCTTGGAACTTCTGAAACCATTTTTCACAAGTTGTTATCATTGATATATGTTCTTGTTAAAGGGTTAAGGTAGATCAATAATAATACTCAAATTAGAGGAATGCAACAATGAAGTAATGATTCTATTCTTCACAGAGAGACTATGAAGAATACAAGGTGAGAATAAATGCTTTGGTTGCCAAGGCTCAGAAAACACCTGAAGAGGGCTGGATCATGCAAGATGGAACACCATGGCCAGGAAATAATCCACGAGACCACCCTGGCATGATTCAGGTTCATTGCATTCTTTGGCTGAAATTACTTAATATTGGAGTTCTTAAATGGGTGATTGCATTTAATATCTTATTGACACCTATATACGTGTTTGTAATTTTCCTCAAAGGTTCATGGCAAAATTAGAAGTCCTTGCTGATTGTGTGCAGACTGTTCTTTTTTCCTGCTCTCTTTCTTTTTTGCATTGGCCAGATATATCATATGTTCATCATTGTTTGTTAAATCAACATACCACATCTCTGAGTCTATCAATTGCTACCTGTTTTGGCATATGAAATATCATAGGAGCATTTTACCAAGGCAACTGGTTTAATTCTGAACATGGAGCCCATCCGATCAATAGGTTCTGATGGTGTTTCAACTGGTTTAATTCTGAACATGGAGCCATCTAGCCAATAGGTTCTGATTGTGTTTCATACTTAATTGTCTACTGTCTTCTTATGTTATCAGAAGTATCAAGTACCAGATGCTTGGGATATCAATTAAGGTTATATATTTGTGCATATGTCTTCTTTGTACAAATTCTTCTCTCTTGGTGTGTTAGTAGATATCATTTGTTCATTTGCTTGTAGTTCGCTATGTTATAATTATCTTGAACTATGATATTAATTCTTATGAAAAGTATTAGTGCTTGCTCAAGTATTTGATCGTTGATCTGTTTACAAACTTTTGGCAGGTTTTCCTCGGACATAGTGGTGCCCATGACATAGAAGGAAATGAACTTCCTCGATTAGTTTATGTTTCAAGAGAGAAGAGACCTGGATACCAGCATCATAAAAAAGCTGGGGCCATGAATGCTCTGGTAGACTACTCTGTCGATTTCTTATTAATAATTAGTTTGCACACTGATGTCATCCTCATCATTGTTCACAAATATATAAATCTTACAGGTTCGGGTCTCTGCAATTCTTACAAATGCTCCCTACATTCTTAACCTTGATTGTGATCACTATGTTAATAACAGCAAAGCAGTCCGTGAAGCAATGTGTTTCATGATGGACCCAGAAGTTTGTAGAGATGTCTGTTATGTTCAATTCCCTCAGAGATTTGATGGTATAGATCGGAGTGATCGATATGCAAATAGGAATATTGTCTTCTTTGATGTAAGATTCAAATGATAGAAGAACCCTACTACTAATGATATCTGGTGACTTTAGACTTTAATGATGCTTTTCTTTTATATAGGTAAACATGAAAGGGCTTGACGGCATCCAAGGACCAGTATATGTGGGAACTGGGTGTGTTTTCAATAGGCAAGCGATGTATGGGTATGGACCACCATCTTTGCCAGTCTTGCCGAAGTCCTCATTTTGTTCTTCATTCTGCTGCTGTTGCCGCCGTTCTAAAAAAGCTCCTGATGACCAAAATGATGTTTATCGAGATGCCAGGCGTGAAGACCTCGATTCTGCCATATTTAACCTAAAAGAAATCAACAGTAAGTATATTGTATTGTGGTTGTGTTGAAAGTTAGATTTTTTTTTAAATTGTATGTTCTATGGCTGCTTCGTGCATGCAGATTATGATGAATATGAAAGGTCCCAATTGATCTCCCAAACGAGTTTCGAGAAGACCTTTGGGCAGTCTTCAGTTTTTATCGAGTCGACTTTAATGGAGTATGGAGGAGTGCCTGAATCTGCAAATCCATCAACTTTGATCAATGAAGCAATTCATGTCATTAGCTGTGGATATGAGGAGAAAACACACTGGGGAAAGGAGGTGAGCATTTGTTTTCATTCTTCTTTCTCTTGCCTGCAACAAATGTATCATGTTGCAGAGGTTGTTGTACTTCCTAAATTTTTTTATTCATTTACTAAATAAAAATTGAACAGATAGAAAATAGGTTCTCATGATATTGTCTTGAGGTTCATTGTGGGCTTCATAGTTTAATGTTTTCTTTAGGGGCTTCCAGGTGAGTAAAACATGTAAACAAGTCCTGTTCAAAGCAATGTGTTATCTCTGCATAGTCCGTATCGGGAATCATTGATCCATTAGAGAGTTAGGTTAGGTTTGTGTTCAAATGAATTTTGTAAGCAGTGAGGTTTAACTTTTCCCTGCCTGGCATGATTTGGTTTATCAACAATCTTCTTGTAGTTGTGACCTGGATCAGTCAATCCAACACAGTTTAGGTAATTGTTGTCACACACTGTTGAAATATAATGTATGATAAAAATAAAAGATCTCTATCAGAAAAGCATTGCACCACTGCATCATAAGAGTTTCAGCAGCTTTATTATAAATTTTGCTTAGTTGCCCAACTCTATTCATATGGCTCACCTGTAAATTTCCATAAATGGATCTAAACACATCAGATTCACAAAAAGCATTGTTTCTTATTAGTCAGAATTTGTCAAGCTTGATCGTGAGATTTGTTTGTCATGGAGGCAACGGAGTTACTAATAAAAATATTGTGGTTCACATCAAACTTATTTAGTTGACTCAAGCGAACTTCAATTATATTAAACTTCCATATGCGGACTGCTTTTATATACTTGTATATGTGCATATGCACACACGAGTAACCCAAGTAATTTGTACGAAATTATCATACCACCAACCTGGTTTATCACTCTCGGTATTTGGGTATTGTAACATAGCTTGTTCCTTAGCATTGAGTTATAATTGCTTTTAATTTACCATGCGATTCTTCTTTCCCTGACTTTAAGCAGATTGGCTGGATATATGGATCTGTCACGGAAGATATTTTAACAGGTTTCAAAATGCACTGCCGTGGCTGGAGGTCAATTTACTGCATGCCTTCAAGGCCTGCTTTCAAAGGATCTGCTCCAATCAACCTCTCTGATCGTTTGCATCAGGTTCTTCGTTGGGCTCTTGGCTCTGTTGAGATCTTCCTTAGCCGACATTGCCCGCTTTGGTATGGATACGGAGGTGGCCGTCTTAAATGGCTTCAAAGATTGGCTTATATAAACACCATTGTCTATCCATTTACATCACTTCCACTTATTGCTTACTGCTCGTTACCAGCCATTTGTCTTCTTACTGGGAAGTTTATCATTCCTACGGTAATGCACCATTCTTTCATGGCCTACTTAAAGGTTTTTTATTGGAACTATCTTTTTTAACCTTGGTAGTGACTCTGTCTTATTTATTTATGATTTTGTTGTCGTCCAGTAGTTGTAGGAATTTATATCATTCTCTTTGGTCCATTTTATAGTTAATCAGTAAAAAAAAAGCCTAAATATATTAGGAAGTGACCTGGTTCACTTATTTTAAAGTTGATAATAACATTGTATCTTTTCCCTTTTGCTCATTTCAGCTTTCCAACATTGCAAGTGTCTGGTTTCTTGGTCTATTCATATCCATCATCTTGACGAGTGTTCTTGAGCTGCGATGGAGTGGTGTGGGTATCGAGGACTGGTGGCGTAATGAGCAGTTCTGGGTGATTGGAGGTGTCTCTGCACATCTCTTTGCTGTTTTCCAAGGATTTCTAAAGATGCTGGCGGGCATCGACACCAACTTCACTGTAACTGCCAAGGCTACTGATGATACCGACTTTGGTGAGCTCTATGTGTTCAAGTGGACAACTGTATTGATACCTCCAACAACCATTCTAGTCGTCAACTTTGTCGGTGTGGTTGCTGGATTTTCTGACGCACTGAACAACGGTTATGAATCCTGGGGCCCACTTTTTGGGAAAGTATTCTTTGCACTGTGGGTGATCCTCCATCTGTATCCATTCCTGAAAGGTCTCATGGGGAGGCAGAACCGAACACCGACCATTGTGGTGCTGTGGTCAGTGCTATTGGCTTCAGTTTTCTCGCTTTTGTGGGTGAAGATTGATCCATTCATAAGCAACTCGGCTGCTGCTAAGTCTGAGAATTGTGCTTCCATCAACTGCTAAGCTTGTTTCCAGAAAGGATGGATCTATAACGATGATCAAGGATGCATGCAACCTTAAAATTTGTCTTTCTTTTTGAATACTATCAATAATGAGTACTAAAAAAAGCTCTGTAATGTATCACTGAAACAGGAGGTGGACTCTATTGTGTTAAAATGTGAGCTTGTTTCCCAAAATATGTCTACCATGAATTTGTAGCTACCATGAATGTGTATATTTGAAATCCCTGATTAACAATAATTTTACTTGTGTGAAATTTTGATAAATTTTGTTGGTCAAGAAAGATTTTATATTTGAAAATCTTTTGCTGACAAAATCTTGAAAATTACAAATAGGATGATGATAAGTAGCCTATCTATTTATCATTAGGTTTTTGTATGGTTAAGAGAATGCTTGGAAGTTAAAACATGCTTTTATTGGTTTCTCGTCAAAACTGCAGTAATAAGAGCTCTCAGCTAATTATATATTATCTCTATAATTAGTTATCATTAATATTTTGATCTTTATGTTTTCATAAATTATATTAGGATTCTTATATTTATGAAAGTAAAATATTTATGTTGATGAAAATATCACAGAGTTTATCACCATCTCATTTCAATTGATCACTGAGCACGTGTGATATTTTCATCAACAAAAACAATGACGTAAAAAAAACGAAAATAAATATTTTACAAGAATTAAAATACCTCGAGTAACCTTTGCATGGGGATAATTAATCATCCCCTCAGAGAACCCTATTTCGAAGACAGGACGATGCAACCTGGAAAACTTTTATACATTGATGATTCGAACAACCTAAGCAGCACCGCAGCACATCAAAATTCCATGGAAGGCAGGAGAGGTGGAGTCAGCTGCACGAGTCAGTGACAAGGCAATGGGTCGATGTGCACGACTGCGCGCGGGGGCGACTCTGCCCACGGCCCATCCTATCCATCACGTGTAGAAGGCTGCTTTCGATGCGCAGTATGGTCGAAGCAGCCTCACCATGTCCCTCTGGATCTCGCAGTCACCTCATCCCCTCGGACGCTTCACCTCTGCAATCCCCCCCCACCTCCCCCCGCCCCCCTCGAACACCTTACGAGCAGCAGTCGGGTTCGCGCCTTCTCCACCCACCAACAACTCTCGCCTTTCTTCCAACTTCGCGTTCCATGAGTCCTCTGTCAGTATCTCAGATCAGAAAAACTAATGCAAGAATCAACGCAGGTGCCACCCGAAAGCGATCGACTTTACCGCTGGCCGATGTGTCCGTTCCCCAAAAGAAATAAACGTCAGATCCCCTCTTCTTCCTGCGCTTTCTCGTGAACCACAAGCCCTTGTGGCCAAGGAGGTGATGAACCGGCCAAGCATCGACCGCCTCAAAGGTATTATTGTTAGCTCGGCTAAACTATTGCGCAGGGTGACAAAGATTGTAACGTTGTACAACTCGATTGATCTGATACAAGATTCCGTGAATCTGAATCTGGTGTGTCTGCAGATAGTCTGGTGCTCGCCCACAAGACGAAGACGACATCATCATCTTCATCATTCTTGGATGTTCATGTATCAGTGGCAGCTTAGTGCGGAAGGCAGAGCCAATAAATGAGTACAGCATCATGTGGGAACTCAAAGCAGCGACCACTGCGCTAGAGACGGAAACTTCATTGATAAGATAAAGTAGAGTGACGAGTAATGAACGCTATAAGAGGACAGCAGGACGTCTACAGTGCCTATAGAGCTAAAAAAAAGGACAGGTGGGAGAAGAAGACACTGATTAAAGCTCTATCCCTCTCGTCGACTCAAAATAGCATCGCTCAACCAACATTCCAAGAGTAACCAGCATCGGTTTTTTCTGCAAACAGGAAGGAGATGTATGGGGGAGAGAGAGAGAGAGATGGTTGGTTGTGGGTCGCTTTGTCAACATGTGCTCCAGCTGATCGAACCTCTGAGGAGAATAATGCTGAGTAGTAGATAGATAAAGGTGGAATTTTTTGCTGCTGAGATCGAACTTCTGCTTCAGCCGCACAGCTTGGAGAGGCAAACCAGGAAGATGACCAGGAAGACAAAGCAGGACAGCCCGATGGCCACTCCGAGCACCAGCTTGCTCGGCCCGTGGTGGTCCCCGCCGCCGCTCCCTCTATCCCCGCTCCCGTCGTCGCTGACGTCGTCGGAGTAGTCCGACGAGTCCGCCCGAGTGGAGCGGTCCGGGGGCGGCGACGCTGGTAGACCGTACTTGTCGCAAGGGGCGATCCCCAGCTTGAGCTTGGAAGAGAGCACAGTGTGGTTGTAGCAGAGGTTGCTGTTGCCGCCCACCTTGAAGACCTCGAGTCTCTTCAGGAAGGACGCGTTGAAGGGGAGCACTCCTTGGAAGTTGTTGTTCTCCAGATTTAGGAACTTCAATCCCTTCATCCCAGATAGGAACTTTGGGATGCTTCCGTTGAACTGATTCGAGCTAAGATCGAGGTGGACGAGCGCCGAGAGCTGAGACATGGAGTCGGGGATGGGCCCGGAGATCGAGTTGTGCGCGAAAGATGCGTTTTTGAGAGCAGCGAGGTCGCCGATGGAGTCGGGGAGGGTTCCTGTGAGCGCGTTGGAGCTGAGATCGAGGGTCTGGAGGAAGCCGAGAACGGAGATGGAGCTCGGGACTGGGCCCTTGAGGCGGTTGCAGGAGAGGTTGAGGTGGACGAGGTTGAAGGCGTGCCAGTGGTGGGGGACGAGGCCGGAGAGGTTGGCAGCAGAGATGGTGGCGGAGCGGAGGTGACGCATCTGGGAGAGGACCACGGCGGGGCCGCTGGCGACGACTGGGACGCCGATGACTGAGAGGTCGGTGAGGTTCTGGATGCGGGAGAGCCACACGCCGGTAAGGCGACGGAGGGAGGCGGTGCAGGAGAAAGAGTGGAGAGAGGCAACGAGGGGGCCCGGGAGGCGCCTCGGGGCGGCGATGGGGCAGCGGAAGAAAGCGAGGGAGCGAAGGGTAGACAGGGCCCTGAGGGCGGTGGTGGGGAGGTCGAGGTCCGGGGAGCAGTTGGCGAGGCGGAGGGAGACGAGGTGGCGGAAGGGAGCGTCGTCGTCGCAGGCGGTGGCGTTGTCGCGGGGAGAGGGGGCGGTGCAAGGGTCGCCGGCGGAGGAGAACCCCATGGTCTGGAGCGCCGTGAGCTGGCGGGGGTCGAGGGTGGAGCCGTGCGAGTCGACCAGGGAGGCGGTCGGCGACAGGGACCGGGGTATGGCGCCGCCGCCGGTCCAAGTGTAGGACGAGAGCAGGGTGAGAACCATCGAAAGGGCCGCCAGGCGATGATCCATTTGAGCTCGGAGCGAGAGCGAGGGAGAGAGAGAGAGAGAGAGAGTCACAGTGAGAGTGTAGTGAGTGCAGCGAGCGAGATGAGAGACGTTTGTATTCATCGTGAAGTACGATTGATGCATCGTGGCCGTCTGATGAAGGGCCAAGTGATTTCTTGATCGAAACCGAGGGTCAGCGGGTCGGGTTCAGGTTTCCTTCACCACGGGCTCCGATCCGTCCGGACACTCTTTACAAATACTAACAACTAAATCGGATGCGCCTAACCGGGTCCGGATCCGCCTGGCCTAAATCGGATCCCCTAAGGGACGGTGTTACGGCAGGCCGAATCAAGCTCGGAGCCTCACAACCCCCCAAGGCTGCAACAGCAGCCTCTTTACCTGTACATATAACCCATAACCTCATCAACGTTTTAATCTAACTAAACAGGACGATCAAATCCAACATAAACAGACAACGGAGTTTTATCTCGAATAGGAATGATGTTGGAACTTTACATCCCCACATCACATGTAGATTCTGAATTGAAATACAATGTGACAGAGAAATGTTGGCTGATAAGAGAAGCACGACAACATACTCCGTTTGGCAGAAGGAAGCGATCTTAGAACATACTTACCCGGAAGAACCACAGAAATATGGAGGCTATTATGAAGCACGCCATGAGGAAATTACAGTAAGATTGACGTCTCCAACAGCCACCCCTCTCATCACTCTCCAAGGAGTGCGAGTGCGGAATGCTCGGCTCTCTCCTGACATGCCTTTCCTCCATCGACCTGCTGCCTTCCTCACCGGCGATGTTCTTTGCATTCACGCCGCATATTTCACAATACCTGCATCCAGATCAATGATTTATATGTTTGCTTGCAAATGTTCAGCTATGATTCAAATGCACTTGTCCAATGAGATTGAAAAGGAGTTGAGCAACCCATCCACAACCTGTTCATTTAGAAAGGAATTGAGTACAACCTGAAAATGGATGTTTAAACTTACCCTCACTTAGCTCACCACATTCAAGGGAAAAAAAAATGGTAATGTAAAATTAAAGCATATTGAGATACTCAAGGTCATGTCGGATCGAAGAAAATGAGATGCAATTATATTTTGAAAAGAGCATTGTGTAACAGGAACAGGACACTCTTCGTAACGAAAGAAGACTTGATTCCTCAAATTATCGCAAGCTAAGGAGGCCAGACATCAGCTATTTTATTTGTTTCTCTGTAAACATGATGAGCCCTGCTTACACTATTGCCAAAAAGCTATTGGACTTTTTCTTCACCATGGAAAAGGTTTTTCCAAAGATGGAACTGAATTTGTTGTTTTCCATATCTACAATTCAACCTTGTCTTTTCTTGCATTAGATCTATTTCACACATAAAAATATTTAGACATTTCTAATGACCATGCCCCAAATATAACTACTAGCAACTTTTTTAGCTCAGTTACAAGTCTGGGATGCTCAACTACAGGTTTTGGCGATATAAAGAATCCACAACATAAATATCTGTCGGTAGAAAACTTTACGGGTCTATGTAGAATTTGTAAAGCCAGCACAGATGAAACCTACATTTTAAGGCTTGCAAAGAGAAATGAATCAGATCATAGTGACAGAGATGCACGAAAGACTCAATCACCTATCCACATTTGTTTAGGTTGATGCTCACCAAACTTATACATTGTGATAGGGCCTTGTTTATATTTCTGTCCAAAACAGAATGGGGGTGTAACCAAGATCAGAGGCATATCAGTAACTGTATGGATAAAAACTGTCTCATATTTACGATACATTTAGAACTAAATGTTAATCGAACATGTCTTATTGTTTTTCCTCTCACATTATGTATTTCTCCATTTATCCTCCCTCTTACCGGTCTTTGCCTTTTCTTTCTCCTTCACCTCCATTCTTTTGTTTTTCTCTCTCCTTCCTATCTTTCATGATCATCATCATGTAACTCCCTGTCACCCTAAGAAGGGGAGGGTTGTCTAAAATGAGGTGCACCACTATCATATATCTCACTCTTACGGCTTCACGGTGGATAATTACTTAGTATTGTATCAAGCACTAACAGTCCTATGTTGCAAATGGCTGACCACATACAGGAGTAAAGTTATAGTCAAAAGTTATAGTCCTATGTCAAGCATGGCTATGTCTAGCGGTCCAAAATGAGCAGAATAGCCCTTAAAACTGTCATCAAGTCCGCCATTCTTTAATGCAAGGCTGATTTGTTAACTTGAGGAATTTGGATTTGTCTTTCATTAATGTAGAGAATGAAATTAAGTTTGTAGCTTGGAAGGACAAAAAATGATTCAGAACCAAAGTTGGTTTTGTTTTTGGTCTCCTTGGAGGTCCTCAACCTAATCATGCTTAGCTTTTGGTATATGATGATGTCACATAAAGTTCCTGATATCTTGGATGTAACTTTGTCTATTGCCTATCTCAAGATCATATAATATGAAATCAACCCTCCAACCAGAAAATTCCACAGTAGAAAATGATTTAGCTGAACAATTGTGATCTTGTCTTGTGCAGCACTAAAGAACAGGAAAACAAACACCTTTTCTGAAAAGGTGCAAAGAGTCCCTTTGAGGAACTTCTTGCAACTTGGCAAGCACAAGTCGCATATGGAAGGCATCAATCAAGCACGCGATAGATGAGAGCAAGTGCTACAAGTGCATCAAAGGAGCTACTACCAGATCTAAAGGCACTTGCCACAGCCTTCAGATAGGATTAAGCGTTACCACCATCAAGAAGTCTAATCGGAAAACAAAATCATTGACATACCATGCAAGAAGATAAGAAATGGATTAAAGGAACACAAGAGAGATGAAGAAGACTACCGGTTGCCCTTCAGCCTAAACCACTCCTCGGCGCAGTGGCGATGCGCGACGCCGAGCTCACCCTTACACCCGCAACCGAGCTGGATTAGCCCGGATCCCTCTTCTCCGCCGGCGGGGCTCAAATGGCAGATCCTGCACACCTTCTCGTCCTCCCGGTCGCTACCGCCTACGTCGGTCCCTTGGCCACCGCATCCTACGTCGACGACCACGCAGGCGCCCTTCTCTGCATCCGGAAGGGTCTCTGCATCCCCATCCCGCCCTCCCGCGGCCGACCTTCCGCCGGAGCCAGCAATAGCGACCAGCACGGCGGCGTGGGGTTCGACGCCATTTCGCGGCGCAACATCGGCCATGGAGTCTCGGGCACCTGTGAAATTTGTGCTTTGTTTGGCCTTTTGGGGAGGAATCGAAGCTTGGTTCGGCTGCTTGCCTCCATCACAAGTAAAGATTAGATTAGCAGTAACGCCACCAAACAAGGAATTGATGGAGACGGGAGACTGTCGTTTATGCTTAGAGAGGAGTCGGATTGAAGCCATAGCAGGTGATTACTGCAGTTGATATAGAGTTTATTGAGTCATTTAGACGGCCCATGGGCCATATATAATCCATGTAAGATGAATCTTCCCGGAAATTGGGCCCTATTCTTGGGCGGCCGCAGTTCTAAATAAACCGGCTAGCTAGAGTTTTTGGCGAACGCAAAAGGGGGAAGCGGTGGGCGGTGCAGGAAGAGATCCATGGCGTCGAAGGTGTCGCTCAAGGGGAAGAGGAAGGCCGGGAAGGGCTCCAAGGGGCCGGAGGAGCGGTCGGCGTGCAAGTGCTTCAAGGAGTGGAGCACCTGGGCGATGAAGAAGGCCAAGGTGATCACTCACTATGGCTTTATTCCCCTCATCATCACCATCGGCATGAACTCCGAGCCCAAGCCCCAGCTCTACCAGCTGCTCAGTCCCGTCTGATGCCTCCCTCCACCATCGGCAAGCTTTTAGGTTAGCGATCTTGTTCTTACGCCTGTACAATTAGTGACTTGTTGCTCGATTGGACTTTGCGAGTCCTATGTTGACGACCGTGCTTGATCTTCTAAAGCCGCTTGTTCTGGAGCTCCATAGTGATCGATTGGTTTCTACTGCTTTTTGATGGTATGTGCTGATAGCATCGTGCTTGTCGTCCATCAGGAGATTTGGATTGCCGACGATCGATTTCCATTAGGTATGGCTGACCTTGTTATACTGCGTGCATCACTAGGGTAGGGAAATCAGTCCAAGGTTGTGTTACTTGTGATCGATTTCAAGAACAGTTTGCGGACTCCTTTACCCTCTGTCGATCATCGTATGTGATTGAGCCTGAGATGTATGCTGACAGAATCTTTACCGATAGATGACAACATGTATGCAAGCAAGAGAGTCTTACTGCTTCCTAGCACTAGCATTTCCCTGTGGGCGGGCACTCAACCTTCTTCTTGACTCCTCATTCAAAAGCTCCTCAATTCCACCGGACCATGTGCGTCCATCAGGGGAAACGGAAGACGCAGAGCCGGTAAAAGGAAGCCAAGTCTGACATCGATATGGCACAAGCAGCAGCAGAGGCAGAGGTGGACGTGGTGGTGCCGAAGACTTGGGCTCCGGAATCTCCGGCATTCTTGGAAATCAGTGAAGGCGACATCCACTCTACTGCTTTGGCCATCTCAGGTCTCGTCATCACAGAGAAGTGGGAAACTGGAGGCCGAAGCTACTTCCAAAGCAGCGTGGCAATGCTTCTTGGGCTCTCCCTGTGCTTTGACTGGCGACAGCGGGTTGACTTTTATTTGGAACTTGGCCCAGGCCCAGGCCCAGGCCCGTGTCTGGCCATCCATGTTTTCGGAATCCAAATTGGGAAGTGGTGTCCTCTGTGGTAAATAAGTTCATTAATTAAGTATATTAGCTCTCTACTCGTCTCCCTCCTGCCTTTTGCGGGAAAGCTAAGACTCCACCATCGTCAAGTGGTGAGTGGTGTGTGGTGCAGTGAACTTGTGAGGAAGATATTTCACAGATCTTTCTGAGAGGGAGAGGTCAGAGGAAAAGAGACCTACGTGGCGAACCCGGATGTACGACCGGATCTCCACGAGGACCATGTTGGATCATGCCATTATGATTAGCAAAGCTTATCCTTTATGCAGCGTCCCATCACTCTTAGCTGATCCAGTACATCAAGGCTCACATCCATAAATGTCTAGGAAGCATATACCTAACTTGGATGCCACTTATTAACAATCGCTTGTCTGCTACTTCCATGTCATCCTTTGACCCATCTCTTGTGCTGCGTCTACTTAAATGACACTCCCTAAACAAGGATGTTTCGGCTGCTCTGGTGAAAGAAGAACAAGAAGCAGAAGAAATTGGAGACAGTTGACTGTAGCTCGCTATCAGAAAGATGAGTGACGGTGCGGCAGTAGTATTGTCATATCGTGGCATTCACGTTGCTTAGTGGCCAGTCAGCAATAACGTATTGTTGCGATGGCAGCCTCGCTCGCCTCCAACTAAGGTGGATGAGGTGGAGATATATATATATATGCTCATGACAAGGTGTCGCACGTCTTATATATCCAACACTCCAATCACGCATCAACATCTAACGCTGATGCCTGTAGAGTTCCAACTTGGCAGGTTGATCTGGCCACGTCAAAAAGATCGAAGGAACACATCACGACAGCTTTGTGAGGTTTCTCTGATCAATATGTCTCAGAGATTTGTCTGTCGGATATGTTTCTCACGCACCGAGTTGTGTTGTAGTGCAACAACAACTTTTCTCGGCGCACATCATGGTGGGATCACTGCGGTTGGAAAGGTGGATAAAAAGATCGAGGTTATCAGACCAAACGGTGAAGTCCACCGACAGCTGCTTGACGAGTTCTTTCTCCCTGGCCTGCTGTTGGGTGTCACCTGCAACCCCCCCATGTCTCCCCCGTCCATTTCCTCACGTTATGAACCTAACATTAAACAAAGCTTTCTCTTCGAGCCAGCTGTGAGTTAGACGCAGTTACTTACGCGAGAAGAATGCGTTCGATAGGACTCACGACGGGGGGGCGCGCGTGGATGGTGACGAGGGACGAGACGACCGAGAGAAAGCGACAGGAGGATTGCCGAGATCTTCTCACTCCTTTGACCTTTGCCGAAGTCAAGTTGGGGATTCCAATACCGGCTTTGGGTGCTAATTAAGATGAGGTGAGGCTGAGAGGATACAGGAGGAAGATTGTCGTGATCCGTTGCCACTTCCGGCTCTTTTCAGTTTTCAGCCCCACCACCACCACCATCAACACCACCACCACCACCAATGCGTCCACCGTGACCACCACCAAATCCGTCTCGTATAAATTCCACAGCTGGACTTGGATTCTCCCTGCGTATCCGGATCACATACAAGAAAAGCAAAGTCAGCGCCCCCACCTTTCTCCTGTTCTACCTTCGGTCCATTGCGCTTTAGCTCATCCCGTTCCATGGACGACAATGACTGGGATCTGTACGCCGTGGTGAGGGGCTGCTCTGCGGCAGCGGTGGCGGCTGCGTCGGATCCCCTCTCTTCGTTGCCTCCTCCTCTTCCTGTGGTGAAAGAGGGGAGTTTGGGAGGAGGAAAGGACGAGGCTTTGGGCTTTCCCGATCTCATGGGCACGTCGACCTCCCCTTACGAGCTGGAGGAGCTCTGCCAGCCCTTCTACATCAAAACCCATCTGCAACCGCTGCAGCAGCGGCAGCTCCAGCCACTGCTCGTCCCGAAGCCGAGCTACCGCCCTTCCTGCGCCCCGGCCACCTCGGTGTTCCCCGCTTTAGCCGTCGTTCCGCATCAGTTGCAGCAGCAACCGCGGCAGCCTCAACGTCCGGTCTCCCAAACACCCCGTTCTAAGAGAAGGTTCACTTCTGCTCTCATCTCATCCTCTAATCGTATCGTCCTCTTCTTCTTGTTCGCTTCAAACCTTGTGAAGAACAAAGGAGTCATTTCTATGGGGTACTGATGACGAGTTGGGGAAATCGTTGCACCAACAGGAAGAACCAGCAGAAGAAGGTGGTGTGCCAAGTACCAGCCGATGGAGCCTCGTCTGATATGTGGGCTTGGCGGAAGTACGGACAGAAACCCATAAAGGGCTCCCCTTATCCAAGGCAAGGCTATAACCCACCGGACCTTCTCCTCCTTTTTCGCTTCAATCTTTGCTTCCAACTTCCGAGTTCTAATATTTGACGAAGCGACTAACATTGGGAGGTATGAGCAGAGGTTACTACAGGTGCAGCAGCTCCAAAGGATGCCAAGCCCGGAAGCAGGTAGAGCGGAATCGGGAGGACCCAGGGATTTTGGTCATCACATACACGGCGGAGCACAACCACCCCGTCCCCACCCACCGCAATTCTCTCTCCGGCAGCACTCGCCAGAAGTTTCCGCCCACCGGCTCCTCCGCGCAGCCGCCGCCCGCCTCCGGATGCGAGGGAGACGGAGAGCAGCTGAAGTCGCCCGGCAGCCACGTGCCATCGAGCCCTCTTCCATCTTCGGCCGCGGCACAACGTCCTTCGCCCACAACAGCGCTTACGGACTCGGTCGAGAGCAAGGATGATGAGGAAGACGAGGATGAGGACGAGGAGGAGGAGGAGCTGTTGACGGTGGGAGACATGGAGATGATGGGCTCGGACGACTTGATCTTCCTTGGCATGGAGGTTATAGATGGCTCGACCAACACCGCTGGGACCACCAAATCCCCGGCAATGGTGTCCGTCGGCTCCGCCTCCTTCGAGGAGGATGGCGGCTTCGAGGAGCATTTCTTCCGTTCACCTTGGGTGGCTAACGACAATGCGGCGGCGGCGGCTGGTGGCAGCTGACTGCCGACGGCTCTTCTTGCTGCAGCTATATACAGTGCTTAATCGTCTTTTTGGTTCCTATTTGGTTCGGATTTTTTGTTCCCTCTTATTTCCTGTAGAAATGATCTCTGTACATCTTTGCATGTCTTCTTCTACGGCACAAGTCTGGCTGTGTAAAGCGATACTAGTAAGCTTGCGAGACAAGTCGCCATGTATGTATTCGTCCTACTATTTTACCTCTGAGAGTTGTGTGATCTTTTGTTCCTCATGGTTGTATTAAGAGATTGGAAATCTTGTGCTGTTTGTGGAATTATCCATCTATTTATGCATGCCCTATTTTTATGTGCTCCTAATATTTCATGATATTTTTATTCTATACATCATGAAATTCGGATATTTCGATATTTTAACCTTATTTTTAAGTGAAATTCGATCCTATATGATTGATAGTATATTAGCACATAAGAACTCAACATCTCATGATATTTGATTGTCCTTTAAAATTAGGACTAATTATAGATCACCCTATATAATTAGTTTTCTTTAGCATCCCAATTCCTATCTTTTCAAAAATTACATTAGGATCTCTATAGTTATGAGAGTAAAATATTTAATCATGTTTCTTTTCATAAAGTCGACGACGTAAAATAAAATTAAATTAAATATTTCACTTTTATAAGTATAGGGATCATAATATAACTTTTGAAAATATAGAAACCGAATACTAGAGATAACTAATTAAAAAATCTATAACCAACACTCAAAATTAAGATAGATTTATAGATTTCTCATAAACTTCAACACCAAGTTCTTAAGATAAATATGTAATTTTATTTCTTCCAAGACTACGAGATAATGGTAAAGTTTATGGAAATTGGCGGGGCAGCCACACCCAATGCCTTGGGAATCTTCGTAGATAAGGTTGCACATTTCACTAGGAAGAGAGATAGGACGAAGATGATGAAACCTGAAAGGGGAAGGCACTCTTTTCCTTCAAAATCAAACTAGTATTATAATGAAATACACTAAGAACACTGTTACCATTCATCATATTCATCATCATCTTCTTCCGTGGAATCTTGTCTCAGGAAATGACGAATCTCATCCGATCTTTCCATCTCTATAAACTTTACGTATTTAGCTCAGCTTCTGCTCACGAGAGCGAAGGATGGCAGACGCAATTTGGGACTCGGGAGAAGAGAGTTGAAATGTAGTTCAAGATTGGCTCCATCGATGCCTACCAACACAAGTGCAGACGAGCAAGGCGGCACCGGATGAACTTTGGTACCACCAGATTTGATCCAACGATTCAAAGGAGAGCCATAATATTACAGTAAAACTATCACCTTCTTAGCATGAAGGTACTTTGCACAATTATCATGTTGTAATTTGACTGTCTTATTATGATGTGTCTGCATGACTTATCTTCCCTATATTAATTTGACGATTATGTATAAGTCACATGTTAAATGATAATTGATCGATTATTAT